GCTTTCTGGCTACGTGCGTCTTCCAGTCGCGGGGGTGAAGGAGCCCGCGGCAGCTCCGGCGTTCCTGCAGCCTGACGGGGCCCGAGGGGCGGCGGGCTGGCGCGGCGGCAGGCGGCGGAGGTAACGCGGCGGGGCAAAGCAGAGGGCGCTGGCTTCAGAAGCACAGGGCGAACACCGCAGTCCTCGGCTGCGCGCTTCGGCTTCTAAAATGAAGCCAGTTTGCACTTTTTTTTTTTTAAACAAGTAGAAAAGGTGGAAGCTCTTTTATTTCTAAGTGGGAATAGACCGCAGGACCTTCACTCCGTACCAGAAACTGACGGCAAAGAAATAGATTGAACCTCATTACAAATTCACAAGAGGTACAAACGCTAACATTTTTATCACTTGTTTTGGCCTTCACCACCGATACACCTTAGGAACAAATGGACTGAAAAAAAAAAGCTACCAACACACAAGAGGAATGAGGTTGCAAAAGTTAAAAAAATTATTAAGTGGGTTTACAAAGACCGTATTAACATCAGTGATGCAGAATACAGACGTAAGCCAGCTTGCAGCCAGACCTCCAATGAAACACAATAGTCTGGGAGTTCCCAGTGCAAAACTGTCTACAACACGGGTTGAGAATAAAATGCAATGCCTTTAGTGACAACTTGAACAAAGCTGTAGTTGAGAAAGTCACACTAGAAGGCAGCCAAAATGTTGCCACCCAAAGATAAAACACTTCATGATCATGTAGCTCCCCGTTTGTAAAGTTGCTACCTATATTGGGCATCAGGTGCAATTAGATCACTGATTGCTTGTTTAAAAGACATTTAAACCAGTGACATTCTGTTGGAGAAAACGCTCCAAGAGGTTCTGTATGCTTATAAAGTACATATGTTTTTGATACCGACTGACAAGTTAAAGAACGTTCTACAGCTAAGAAAATGGAAGCATCCAGTAACTAAGAGTCCTTTGCTTCTGGTTCTGGAAGGGACGGCTTGATCTCCTTCAGACCACCTTCTCTCAACTCTTGTTTTCCTCAGTAAAGCCATGTAATACTATTTCTCACAAGGACAGTAAGACTTGTTTCTTCTGCTATTTGAGGTCAGCTCAGGAGAGGCAAAGAATTACAGAGAGATGGATGCGCCAAGGAAATGTATGCTCCATTCCTACTCAGTTAAGTTGGAGTACACATGAAAACCCAATTCTGAAAAGAAACAATCTAAAACTGAGAAAGTTTTAAGTGTTTATTAAAAAAAAAAGGTGGCAAAAGCTAGATATTATCACGTTTTTCCTATCAAAAATTTCAGACAGATTTATTTAAACTAAGATTATATTACAAAAGGTACTAATAGTGGAAAAAAATCCTCCATACTTAGTCAGAATATTGAAGTTTTTAGCTAATACTGGGTTGTTACCTTTTTTTTTTTTAACTGTGCTCCCTTCTGTTCTGTGGCCACTTCAACTATATAAAGCAACTTTCACACAAGACCACCACTATTTCATGTCTCAATGACTTGTTTTCCTGAATTAAGGTCTCTTATATTCATTAACACACTGAAATCCATCTTAACATCATGAGTACATTTAGAAAGTTTCTTGGACAAGGAGTTCACAATTTCTGTATGAGAAAAATCAGCACTTCTGGGTGAAAGTAAAAGGTAAATTTAAACCATGTCATTGGGATGAATTTAATTATTTATAAGAAGGGGCAGATAACAACAGTAGAATAATGCTTCCTCTTGGAAGTTTGGTAAGTTTATTAATTGAAATATTTGTAGTCGATTGTGTATAGGCAGAAATTGTTATTTTTAAATTGATATCAGATATCACTAAAAACTAAGCAGATATTCAGCATACATCACAATTTATTATATGGCAAATCAGAACATCTACACTGACATTTTCTTTTCGGATTTGCATTTATCTACAAACTAGAAGTCCAAGAAGTTATTGAAATAGATCCTGGAAAGCAGTGGAAAAGGAACTAAAAGGTCAGGAAGCGTGCAAGGCTGCAGATGGATGCAGGTACCAGTCTGCAAGCTTCCAGACCCTAATGTTTGTTGGAGCCACCCACTTTGCTGATACCCTCATGCTCTCCCATACCCTGTAATGCAAAGCTCTGAAAGATTTTGAGGATTGGTGCCCGCCCTTAGCTACCTTCAGTAATTCAAGTCTTCTTTACTGAGAACGTGAATGTGCAGCGACTCTCAAAGAAGTCATGCTTACTAGCAAATACTTTCTTTTTTTTTTCCTCAGATATGAGAAATTCAAATGCCAAAAATAAGCATTCAGGCACCAAGTTATAGGTATCAAAAGCAACTGTAACCTTGCTGACCTGAAACAATTGGGTAGAAAGCAGTAGTTAAATGTTACATAAAAAACAAACAGAAAAATTGTCTGAAAGGAGTGTACGAAAGTGTAGTAGGACTGGAAATGTTTAGTTCAGTTTGCTGAGTTCATGAAGACAATTATGTCACGTACTCATCCAAATTGGGGAACCTATGGAAAACCAAGACAGATCAGTAGCAAGGAGAATTTAAGGTTCAAAAAGATCTATTTTCTACACCAACAGTAACTGTTGAGCTCTTGTCTCCATCTAGGTATTCAGACTAATGCTATGACTACAAGGAAGTCATAGCATGTCCCTTGCAGAGACAGGATACAACAAATAAATACTTGAATATGACCTCGACGGGGAGAAAAAAACAGCCAAGCCTCAGAGTAGGCTCCTGCAAAGGACACGTAAAAAACTAAAAAGCAAACAAAAAACCCACAAAGAAAATGCTCCTAGGGGAGCTCAAAAGAACTACAGCACCATCAACACACTGCAGTAGCAAAGTCAGCTGCATTCACTATGGCTGTGTGAGCCACTGACAGAGATTCATCTTCCCCAGTTTGAGACATCTAAAGTAAACTGAAAAAAACTGCACAAAACACCAGATGCCTAAGCCTAAAGTAGTTGTCCTATGCACACGTAGCAAGAGCCAGCACTTCCACATAGCAACTTACATGACCTCTTTTAGGATGGAATGGATCTCTTGCTAGGCCTGCCTATTTGTCTTCCCTGACTGCAAATGGAAGCCAGGCTCGTTAGTCTTGGGGTAGAAGTCAAAATTTTAGTTACCTAAATCTCAGAAGAGGAATCCAACTTGTGCCTCTCAAAGCAAATACTCCGTACTGCCTTTAAGGAGTCTGATTACAGGAGGAATGATTTCTGTCAAAAGTGACTTGTTTTTAATAATGATTTAAATAAGCAGGGAACTATGTTTTAAACCTTATTTTGCATCTGTATTTATCTCTCCTAAAATATTATTTTTATTACTTCATTAGCAATTATTTACATGTTTGTTTGCAATTAAATATAGTCATTGCACTAAGATTGGCAACCTTTTATAACTAGAAAATACATTTTACGTAGTTAATTCTATAGTTTAAAAGGTAACCATTTAGCATCTATTATCAGAAAATGGTTGAGTATTTTTTTTCTTGATTATTTAACACTTCATTAATTTGCATAGAGCTCTATTTGGATGCAAAGTAGAACAGCACAAAAAACAGCATTCAAAATAATTGCTTCTTAGATTGATCTGCTTTAAATATATTGGATACATTCATGAAATACATCTTGTTAACAAAGAGGATAGAACTGATTGTTTCTGGCTGGCACTGCCTTCAGCTTTTAGATAGATTTTACCTTCACAGATCTATCCTATGTACGTAAGGTAAAAAAAGGCCAAGCTTTTTCAATTCCTATTCTGTTTCCAAGTTTGAACTAGTTGTTTGAATTGAGCTGGTTAAAGTGAAATTGAACTGCAAGAAGCAGCTACTGCTATCAGGCTGTGGTTTAGCACTTCAGAAACTTGCTTCCTGATTCTTACTCTGCAAAGAGGAAGGGGTTTGTGCTACTCCATTCATCAGTTCAGTGCATTCTCTTTAAGACTTTGGCAACACATAACTGCTTAAAATTTTAAGAGATTATAGTGCATACAGCTATAACAGAGGTTATTGATCTCATATTTTTAGAGAAAATATTTAATTTAAATCAGTCTTTTCTAAAATAAATGTTTATCTTTCCTCATTCGTTCTAGGGCAGTACTATATGCAGACTCTGGGGCTCATTTTCGTGGTAAGGTAGTACCATATTATGCTACAGCACCAAGCCCTGAGGCATGAACAGATGTTCAGTAAGCAGATCTGCAAGTAATAGTTGTGATGTACTCCAGAAACCAGTTCTTTGTACATGTACATGCCAGCAGTACTATGCAAATAATATTCCTGTCCCCTTCCACGTTTTCTCATGAGAGGCTGATCAAAACCAGACTGCTCTCCGTCCTTTTTAAAGGTCCTCTGTTGGTGGCAATCCAGTTTTGGCTGCCATTTTTCTATGGAGCCTCTCAGTCCCTCCCCTCATGACCTGGCATTATTAGTCTCTGATGTGACAGGGGAAAGAAGTGCGTGTCTTCTGGCAAGGAAGCCAGAAACATAAGCAATTCCTTGGCAACTGCAATACTTCCAAGAAAGAAACAGTTAACATTAAAAACAACAGACCCGGTGATGTCAAGTTTCAAGTTTCCAACAGTCTCTCATCCTCACCAGCCTCTGCAGTCTTGAAGCTGTCAACTTCGGAAATATCACTGGTCATGGAGACTCATGCCAAGTCTAAGGCAGATATTCTGTACACAGAGAGCAGCAGTTATGATTCCAGCCTGAAGATCAGGGTCTTCAATAACAAAACTGCAAAGATGCCAAACAGATACCTGACTTACAAGGAATTTTCTTTCTTATTTTTTCTATTGGCAATCCCCTCTGAAAACAAAACAGACCAAAAAACTCTCAACAGCATTAAACTGACAGCCAGTATGGGCTGAGGCGTTAGAGTATATTTCAACATTGCAGTATTTTTGATAGAAGGATGGTAGCTGTATCTAATGTCCTTTCCATTAAGGAACACGCTTCAGGTGAAAAGAGGATTATGGTGCTGACAGACGAGATTCTGAAGAAGTTCTTAAGGTAGGAATCTGGACCACCGGGGGGAATAAACATGTTAACACGGAGAGAAAAGCTTTTCATACCGATTTTAAAAATAAGCTTATCTGAGAACTCCTCTAAACATAGATAATAAATTCGAGCAATGAATACTCTCACCTGTTGGTAATGAAATGCTGCAGTTAGCACAGTAAATACACAGGTATCTTACCCTTTCTAGCAAATCTGTTTTGTAATCAAGACTTAAATGCTTAAATAAGGAGCTCAGAAATAGAAGGATCAGGTTTTGGCATGTTAACTGTCTAACTGATAGGACACAAGGACTATTACGTTCTGAATCAGAAAAGTGGACGGTAACTAATGCATTGTAGTTCTTCTATTTGATGCCTTTCACAATGCGACACAAACCCCCTGTTCTGTTGGTAATACCACTCAGTACTATTTTTATTGCAAGAATTCCATCCAGTCTTTAATATACACCTTAATGCTTTAAGACGTAACATACATTGTTAGGTGAAATCTAACAGAGTAGAGATCAGGTGTTTGTTACATAATGGAAAAATGCAGATTTATTTATTTAAATAAAGTTTTGACTGGATGACTTAAAGACAATTAACACAATCATTGTATAGATTAAATGTTATAATATCAAATTATGGATTATGCACAGAAATGGATCAGTTGAGAAAGCCAATATAAAATTTTAATTTTTAATTGCTTAAAAGATATTAGAACTTGTTTTATACTTCTATTATTAGAAACTGTTGCAAAACATATTTTCAGGTCTAGTTCTTGATGGTGTTAGCGACAGCTGTTTGCACTGACAGCCATTTTAACACTGGAGCAATTTTCTAAGGAAAACCATCAAAGCTGTTTTGAAATTAAGTCTCCTATTCTAGAAGGCTAGGACAATTAAATGGAAAAAGCTGACTGCTGCTTAACAGCAACATCTTACAGTCATCTTGATGAACTGCATTCTGGTTTTTTGGGAAACCATTTTGCCAGTTGAGATGTTAAGTTATAATCCTGTTTGCTAGCATACTTGTAATACATCTGTCAATTTGCTACCGTTTTAGTAAGCACACTCTCTTATCCTTATATTGTATTCAGAGAAGCTACACGTAGAGTCTGCACACTCTGACCGTGATCAACTAATACTTGCTTTTAGGGTCTTGTCTGCTTGGCTAGACTCTGTTTCCCTGGTTTGCTTATGAAAGAGTCATGTGAAACAGCATCCAAAGCCTTGCTAAAATCAAGAGTTAGCAACTAGTTCTTATCCCCATCCACAACATATGTCACTTTTTCATAGAAAGAAATTAGACTAGGTTTATGTGACTTGATCACAGCAAATACTTATCAGTTGTTACACACGTCATGGATATCTTGCTGATACTAACAGCAGATTTTGATTTTTACTTGTCAGAAAAAGAACTAATGTCAGGCCAGTTGATTTCCATCTTCTCCATTTTGTCCTTAAAAAGTTCAAGTACTGGTTTTGGTTTTTTTCAGTTACCTGTTACTTCTCTTATTTTACATTAGTTTTCAAAGATGATCTTAAAAATGCTGAAGTTCCTCAGATTAGTTCTGCAAATACCAGGAAGAAATTCTTCAGGCCCAGTCAATTTGACAACATGTAGCTATCTTCTATCCTGTTTTCCTTTTTCTAGGTAAGCTTCTTCAATGTTTGTCACTCATACCAGTTGCACGAGCAATACAGTGGCAGTTGATTTTTGACTTTTTGGATTAGTAATCACTATTAACAAACCAAAAAATTCAACACACAAATTGAAAATCTGAACCAAACACATGATCACTTGTGTCAATAGCCATCCTCTTTTAAGTAGTCAGCACTTTTGTTAGCGCAAATCTTTCACTACTTACGTATTTATTCTCTGTCAGTTGACAGTTGTATCTCATCTACTTTCATTGCTATCTATCTGTTAACTCTGTTTTTTGGTGGCATCTGAATTTCCACCTTCTGTAGGCCTCCCCTCCTTGTCTTTGAAGTCAATGAAATTCCTCGTTTAACTGAGTTGGTCTCTTTATTACAGCTAGTCTCTGTCTCCTGCACTGGGATATACTTTCAGTCACAACCTTCACCTCTCCAAGGAACTGTCTTATCTCCTCAGTTCCTCTCTTACCTCAGACTTGTCTTCTGTGAGATCTTACCTATCAATTTTCTGAAGTCTGCCTTCCTGAAGTCCAGCGATTTTTATTTTGATGTAAGAATCGTGAATATTTCACTATCTTTCTTACACAAGTTGCCTTAAACCATCCAATTTGTTTCCTTACTTGCTGCTGATGTAGTCATTCTTGATCCCAGCAACTGGTTCCTAGAGAGTATAACATTGTCTGTCCTAAATGAGAGAGCAGTCATACTTTGAATATGATAAATCTAAACACAGCAACTCGGCTATGAAACAAGATTTACATTTGATGAGTTCTTAAAATATAACGCAACCTTCATGTGAGGAAAGTATTCTTATCCAGGAAGCATGCTTACACGCTGGTGCACAGGTCCTACTGAAGCTCTCTGTTTGAGAAGCTCTTTCCTGAGACTTGAGATAAAAATACTGCACAGACCTTACTCACTAAATTTATCCATAACCTGCAGCCAGAAAAAACTGTCCATATCCTGTTAGCCTTGCAATAGACAGAGCAGGAATCAGTAAGGTCTGAAACAGTTTACATCCCTACCTAAGCATTTTTCCCTAAAGATGCTAGAGATGAAAATTCTGAATCATGCCTGCATTTGCAAACACTAATCATTAAAAGAGAATGGGGTTTTGTACCAAACCAGGCTCATAATCAGCACCACACATTATCTTAGAATATTTTATCCATAAAACTGGAAGGCAGTCCTGAGAATTCTTAAGCAACACAATCTCAGTTCACCATGCTAAAGGGGGAAGAAAAATGTTATTCATTGGTACCACACAAGCCACATTTTCATAGCTGATTCCTTCACAACACTATACGTATACTATGCACATGTACACAAACTATAACTTTTTGTGATACTCCCCTTCCTCCTTGAAAAGTGGCATGGAGAACAATGACAGATGAAAGCTTAGAATAGATGGACAGAAAATACACATAGTGTATTTTATTTTCTGAAGTTTCTGCATCCCTGGAAACTAGAGGTGTTTCCGCTAACAAAAATTTCTACTGCAAATTTGTTTTTGAGAAAGCCATTCTTGTATATTCAAAATTTTTAGTGTGGGCTTTTCAGGTTCCTTTCCAGCAACAGAGCTGTGCTCTTGGACAGAGCCTGGAAATTCTGAGTATTGCGTTAGATTAGCCCAAGTTTAGATCCCTCAGGTTCTCATCCTTTAATTTTAGTTTTGTTACTTTTTTCATTGTCTTTTTTTATTTTTAGCTAAATTTTTAATAAAACACTGCAGCTTCTAGTGAAGCATTTTTAATTATTCTTTTCCCAAAGAACAACCTCATCTATTTACAACCAATTCTTAGCACTCTCTGTGACAAGGCTGCTTCAAAATTTGGCTTTTTATATTGGTAACACTCAATAGTAACAGCCAAATTCTTAATCAAATGTTTCTAATGAACTTTAGACGTTAAAATAAACCTAAAAGACCCCACTGGTATGAAAAAAAATGCACATTTTCAAAACAGTCTTCTACAATGGAAGATAACTATATTAATCCTTCATGACTTCAAAGGACAGAAAGAAGAAATAATTATTTTCTGTATGTCCCTTGTAGACTTTCCACTGTAACATACTGCCCATCGGTGTTACAAGTACAAGAAGCCACTGCTCAATCATCCAGTTCTGATCCAATTTGAAGATTCATACGATTCGCTTCGCTGATTTTTACGCTTCAGCTATCATATAAAGCTTCCTTCTTCCTCACCACTTCTATATTCATCTAGCACCAGCTTCCTCTTCCTGCTTTTCATATAATTTCACCATTTTGGGTGAAAGACTTCTGTGTAATTCAAAATCTGAAGACATCCTTTCTTTGCACATCTCTGCCATCATCATTATCTCTGTATTTTCAATTAAATAAAACTTAAAGGCTGTAAGAAGCAAAGAAATTTTTGAGTTCTGTTGTATTTCTTCACAAAGAATGAGCAGCCTTGTCTGATACACTTTTCAACATTCAAGAAGGTAATACTGCAACTGTAATACTGTTATATCAGTACTGCAAAGCACACATTTATAACTGAAACAAACTTGTGAACCCTAAAGAGTATTTACTCCCCAAATGAAATTATGTTCTACATAGACTGTTAGAATCATTTTTATTGGACTTGTACTTGCCCTGATATGCAAAATACTGTCTAAACAAACAGTCCCTGCTCCCAAAACTTAAAAATTAAGAAAAGCACACACAACAAAGTATTGTCAGAAAACAGGGGTGGAAAATCCAGGGAGAAAAGAAGAACACTGGCATATGTGATTATTCTTCAGTAAACAGTGTCTTAAAGTAACAGATCAGATAGCAAAATAGTAAGTGATAATGTAGTAAAGGTTAGTAAGTGCTTACAGTTAAGTCACTTGAAGAGATCAGACAAATGCTTGTTAACAGATTCCTATCTTAAGCCAGTCAGTAACTAGTTTGGACAGACAAAAAGGAAATAAAATGTCTACCAGATTGCTCCTTAGTGGTAAAAGCTCATCATAGGACTGTTCTGTAGAGCTTAAGCAACATTCATGACTCAGCAGTAACTGACTGCTTTTTCTCTAAACAAACAAAAAAAAATAATGCAACATGTATCTCTAA